CCCCCCGCGAATCTCCCCCCCTGCCTCAGTTTCCCTGCTCTCCCAACGGCGCGCACAGGTGGTGAGGCTTGTTCACCCCAGGTTTGACCAGGGCATGATCACCAGGTTGCACATTAGATGCTGAGAAATGGGGTCCAGAGGGTTTCCCTGGAGGGGGCTGGGACCTTATGAGCACCATGGGCCATGGTTTGGGTTTTCCAGCCTCAGTCCGCAGACGGGTGATCCGGGGCTGGGTGGGACTTTGTTCTTCTTGCCGGGGCTCGCCACTGACTCCGCATCTCTCTCCCTTCCAGGCGCATGGGAAAATGGTAGTGAGCCCATGAGACCATGCTCTACACAATGACATGTTGGCTCCCAGTCCTGCTCCTCCAGCTGGTCCTCCTGAGCCCGCCGCGGGCAGCAGCCTGCCCTGCCCGCTGCGAGTGTGCCCCGCAGATCAAGTCAGTGGTGTGTCACCGCAAGCGGCTCACCTCCATCCCCGAGGGCATCCCCACCGAGACCAGGATCCTGGAGCTCAACAAGAACCGCATCCGCTGCCTGAACCCGGGGGACCTCTCCCCGTACCCGCTGCTGGAGGAGCTGGATTTCAGCGAGAACATCATCTCCAATGTGGAGCCGGGCGCCTTCAGCAACCTGTTCAACCTGCAGACCCTGCGGCTGCGGGGGAACCAGCTCAAGCTCATCCCCCCTGGGGTCTTCACCAAACTGACCAACCTCACCCTCCTGGACATCAGCGAGAACAAACTCGTCATCCTGCTGGACTACATGTTCCAGGACCTGCGGAACCTGAAGAGCCTGGAGGTGGGCGATAATGACTTGGTGTACATCTCCCAACGGGCCTTCTCGGGGCTGCTTGGCCTGGAGCAGTTGACCATCGAGAAGTGCAACCTGACCTCCATCTCGGCCGAGTCGCTCTCCTACCTCCAGAACCTGGAGGTGCTGCGGCTCCGGCACCTCAGCATCTCTGCGCTGGAGGACCAAAACTTCAAGAAGCTCTACAACCTCCTGCAGCTGGAGATCGACAACTGGCCGCTGCTGGAAGACGTCTCGCCCACCAGCTTCCAGGGCCTGAACCTCACCTCACTCTCCATCACCTACACCAACATCACAGCCGTGCCCGCTGCTGCCTTGAGGAACCTGGTGTACCTCCGGTACCTCAACCTGTCCTACAACCCCATTAGCACTGTGCTGAAGGGCTCCTTTAAAGACCTCATCCGCCTCCAGGAGCTCCACATCGTGGGCGCTCTCTTGGTGTCCGTGGAGCCGCAGGCTTTCTCCGGCCTGAGACAAATCCGGCTGCTCAACCTCTCCAGCAACTTTCTCTCCACGCTGGAGGAGAGCACCTTCCACTCCGTCAACACGTTGGAGACGCTGCGGGTGGACAGGAACCCCCAAACTCCTCTGCATCCTGCAGCGACGGAAGACGCTCAACTTCGACGGGCAGCAGCCCATGTGCTCCTCGCCGCCCGAAATCCAGGGCAACGCCCTGCGCGACTTCCCGGACTCCGTGCTCTTCGAGTACTTCACCTGCCAGAAGCCCAAGATAAAGGATCGGAAGCTGCAGCACGTGACGGCCCGGGAAGGGCAATCCGTGTCCTTCCTTTGCCGAGCGGATGGGGAGCCGGACCCCTCCATCGCCTGGGTGTCCCCCCAGCACCGCATGATCACCACCCGCAGCACGGGGCGGGCAACCGTGCTGCCCGGGGGCACGCTGGAGATCCGCTTCGCCCAGGTGCAGGACAGCGGCACCTACATCTGCATCGCCAGCAACGCGGGAGGCAACGACACCTACTTCGCCACCCTGACGGTCAAGGGGCGGCCGGCCGACGGCTCCCACTATGCCAACCGGACTTTGTACCTCAGCGAGTTCAACGACACCTCCCACAACGACACACAGGTCTTCTTGAAGTTTACGTTGGACCTCAAGACCATCCTGGTCTCCACGGCCATGGGCTGCATCACCTTCCTGGGCGTGGTGCTCTTCTGCTTCCTCCTCCTCTTCGTCTGGAGCCGGGGCCGAGGGCAGCACAAGAACAACTTCTCAGTGGAGTACTCCTTCCGCAAGGTGGATGGTCCTACCACCACCACTGGCCAAGGAGGAGCCAGGAAGTTCAACATGAAGATGATCTGAGCCTCTCCCAGAGGAGAACCGTTGTCTGCTGCCTGGCCCCAGGCATGGCTGCGGCGGGACGGGGCTGGGGGGAAGTTGTGGCAGCACTGGTGCCGTCCCAGGGCTGGTGGTGGGACTTTGCTGTGCTGGGAGGCGGCCGGAGACATGCCGGAGGTGCCGTGGGCCAGCAGG